GGACACGTGGTGATACTAGAAAGGCTGACGGACACAGACACTCAGACAGCCAGGCTGAAGTAGCACTGCCACTGGCCACCTGACCTTGGGTGTCCTGTGTCTCATGACAGCCAAGGGCAGCTGTGTCCTCACTGTGGCTCCACACTCACCTGTTTATAGTGGTCTGCGGACGGTGAGGACCGGGATCTTTCGTGAATGAACTGCGGCTTGTCGTGTTGGTCCAGACCCACATCCAGAATGTCATCAGCTGAGTGATACCGCCCAGAACTCCTGGCTTCCAGAGGTTTCCTCTGTTCCTTCCAAGAGGCCTGATACTCTGCAAAGGTTCCAAGTCGCCGTGGGGCTTCCAACTTCCCTACCTTTTCTGCTTTTCTGTGACTAACGAGGCTTTCCCCAAAGGAGCTGCTGCGGGACCAGGGCTCGGTGCCCTCACGCCCTCGGCCAGCTGGCTGTGGTCTCTCCAGCTTCTCTCTTAGGAATGCATGAGGCACTTGTCTCTGCCCAGGCCCCTGGGGAACCAGTTTGCTTGTTTCCTCAAAAAACTTCCATCTGTCGGCAAAAGAGCCCATAGTATCCTCTGGTGTCCTGGGGTGCTGGTGAGGGCCGTAGGCCCCCGAGAGGCCCACCTCATTCATTTTCTCTGGCTCAGAGTACGACTTGAGTTTCTGCTCTGCTGTGAACCGTTTCCGGCCTCCGATGCGGGAAATGTGGGGCATGCCGCTTCCAGAGGAGGCTGTCTTGGCCAGGCCCGCTTCCCACAACTGGGGCACAGAGTCTGGGTCCCCAGGGACTGAGGGTGAGGCGCCATGGTGCCTCGTCCTATGTTCTGTTGACCCTGAGTGCTGCTCCACTGGGTGGGGGTCTAAATCACGGCGCTGGAAAGACGTGGCCCTCAGGACCCGTGCCTGGGCCTCCTTCAGGTGGTCCTTGTAGGTGCCGGAGAAGGGTCCTTCTGGCGGGGTGCTGGCAGCATCTTCCCCCTCTCCAGCACTGGTCAGAGCCACCGTGCTTCTGCTCTTCTGCAGTCTGGCTCTGCGCATCTGGATCTCATTACGCAAGGTGGTGGCAAACCGGTCACTCCTCCGCGTGGGTCTGCCCACCTGTGCCTCGATCGGCGAAGGCCTTGCTGTGCCGCCACCCTGGCTGCTCTCCAGCTGGCATGTCCCCTCCTGGGCCAGGGAATGCAGCAGGGGTGTCTTCTGGGGAGAGACCCCGCTGCTTTCTCCAGCCGCCCACCTGGAGCTGTCTGCCCTTGGTGGCTGGCTGGCTTTGTCCACAAGGCTGGCCCCGGAAGGCTCCTGGGTGCCAGTGGAACAACCCTCAGCCCCTGTGTCTAGGGCGTAGCAGCGTCCTGCCTCATGGGTGTCCAGAAGCTCCGGGTGCTGAGATAGGTGCCGGCGTGAGCTGTGGCCCCCCAGGTGCAGGGGAGAATACTGGAGGGCCCCCGGGGCCACACTGGGAGGCCAGCATCCCCCTCGAGGCTGTGCTGCCCAGGCGCCAGCCTGCAGGGGCTGCCTGATGGACATGTAGTGACCTGGACCCTGTCCAGTGATATCAACCTTCTGGTCGGCAGCACTAAGGCACCTCACCTGAGTGTGGCTGTCATCCAGGAGGTGGGTGGTAGGAGGCTCCTGCTGGAGGCCTGAGGCCCGCAGTTCCCTTGGCAGCATGGGAGCCCCAGGATTCTCAGGGACAAAGGGGCTCTCTTCACTGTACTGCCTTAAGTGCTGTCCCTGGTGGGGAGGCTGTGAGAAGCGTACATCTGTGCTGGACAGAGAGGCCTGGAGCCTGCCAGGAACCCTATCTTCAGAGGATGGCCAGCTGCAGTCCAGTCGGGGCTCCTGTGGGCAGCCCAGGCTTCCTA